GTTCTGACGTGTCCGTGTTGGTCCAGCTCGTTGTTGGTCAGTTTGACCTTCTCAAAGGAAACCATCTGCTTCATCAGCTGCTCTCCGGTGAACGGAGAGTCCGGGTGCACGTAGAGCCTGCAGGAGGGAGGAGAGACGTCAGCTCTGATTGGCAAACCTTTCAACCAATCAGCGCTTTGCTTTTTCGACTGATTAGAGTTCGTTTAGAAACGCGTTTCTGTTAAAAGTTCAACTGAAAACATAAAGGAAAAAAAAAGAGAGTTTTTGGTCACAATGTTTTTATTTTATAACATCGACGTTCATTTTTAAATTGTTTTTCAAGTGTTAAATATTATGAAATAAACCCTCCTGGTAAAGTTTGATCAAATCCAATCTTTTTTATTTTTTTCATATAATCATTTAAAGCTCCTCAGAGGAACAAAGTGAATTAAAAATAAAGGGTTAAACAGGAATTAAACAATAAAATTAGCCAGTCACCTTTTTTTTATTAATAAATTATTTTTTCTGTTTTAAACAAATTGATGATGATAAAATATATTTTATTTTTGAATGACTCTTAATGTGCAGTTTGTACATTAAACCACTCAGAAGCTTAAATGAATCATCACCATTTAAAAGTGTTTTAAAATAGGTTTGGTTCTGGTTGGACCTGTGGGTCTGGGTCAGAACAAACTGAAGCAGCTTGTTTATAATCCTAATATAATCTGAACAGCCTGACCAAACTCTGCTCCTCAGTTTCCGGTTTGTTTTGTAGGAAAAAGAATAAAAAGAAATAAATCCAAGAAGCGCCATGCTCTCAGGTGTTCTCACCTGGCGGGCAGAGGGGGGTCGGCCTTTCCGGCCACCAGCCAGGAGGAGCGGTGGTAGGCGTACCGGTACCGCTTGTTGTCCACCGGGACGATGTCCATCAGAACGATGTACTTGGAGTCCTGGTCCACCCCGGAGAACGAGACCCGGATGGTTGGAAACATCCTCCTGATGAAGACAGCTCATCATCATCATCATCATCATCATCATCATCATCATCATCATCATCATCATCATCATCA